TCATTATTTAAAAAAATAGAAAATATAAATGTTAAAAACTGCTTTATCATATTTTATCCTTTTTATCGGAATAGTAAGAAATATATGTAAAAAAAAAACTGCATTATCATATGTTTGTCAGTATAGAACAACGATGAAAAATAGATAAAAAGACAGGTCGAAATAAAATTACAGTTAGAATGAAGACAAGAACACATCATTATTAAACTAAACAGTGAAGAGACAAGCGGTTGGAAAGAGTGATGTCATATCCTCGGTGATTTTCGAGAGCTCAAAGATTCTTAATATTATAACGATTTCTTTGACGCTTGATAATAGAATATTAATTAATAAAAAACCTGATGTTCCAAGTTAGATTGATCCTTGAAATATTAACATTATTTTTTTTCGTTTTAAATTGTGGGTATTGGAGGGGGGGTAAAACCGTCTAGCAATTATCATAAAACCATTTAGGAATGTTTTTTTAAGAACTAAAACAAAGTAGATAGGTTCGCTAATCGCTCTCTTTTACCGTCCATTGGTTATGAGTAGAGGCTTGTTTCAGTTTAAGGATTGGGTTCAGGTTAAAAATTGGGTTTCCGGTTTCTTCTAAAGTATTCTCATCCTCTTTCATTCCCAGTAGCCCCTTTACGTTTTAGTGGTATTATTGCCTAGTTTCAGTTGAAATGATCCATAATTATTGTTGGAAAATTGTCCAACTATTGCGTATTATAATGATCACAGTGTGGACCAAATTTTTGCTGTCAGGCACAGAATTTCATATTTTAAAATATACATTATGAAAACAATCATGGCTCTTCACGACTTCTTTATAACATTTTTTAAGCATATCATCCCCGTCCTAGGTATGATGGTAAACAACATCCACATCCTGGGTAAGACGATAAACTACATCTGACAGTAAGATCTCTTATCAGGAGGATTTTAGGAGCTTATTGAAAAACTGCTGACTCCACTAAAACACGTTGATCTCCATTCTCCCCGCTCTAAGTCTAAGCGCTCTATACTCATAGAAATGAGACACAGAAAGGCATGGAAGCAACGAAACAAGTAGTATTTATTATCTGGTTGTAATGTGGCTATGGAGATAGGAGAAAAAGTAATACTGAATAAAATTTTGGATCAAATATAGATCAAATATGGATCGGACAGAAGGATAAATAAAGAATAAATAAAATATAGATAGTCTTTCTCGTATGTTTTATATATATATATATATATATATATATATATATATATATATATATATATATATATATATATATATATATATGTGTGTGTGTGTGTGTGTGTAATGGATAGCAATATAGTTGGAAAATAGAATAAGTGTGGGGATTTCTTAACTCGTGTTTTTGTTGAGTGCTAAACAAATGTTACTATTATGGCTTGGAAAATAAAAAGGAGGCGAAATTTTCGTTGATGAATGTGTTGACGACCTGTCCGTGTGAACTACTTTTCCGATAGTGAGAATGTTACATGTTTGTGTGTGTAGAGAAGAAAAGTGGGGATGATTCCCATTGGTTTAGAATGAGTGAATTAATAATAAGTGTAATAGTTATAATTATTTTATTATAATTATTGTTGCCAATTTTTTTCTTCATAGATACGACACCGTGACAGTATAATTATATATCTTATGTATTTATTTCTTTATGGACACGACATGCTTAAGGAATGTTTAATTACGTTTTCTTTTACCGAAAGTTGTTAAGCATCAACACTGTTTTTGATGCTATTCATATATTTTTTTTTTTTTTTTGGATTTGAATTTGAATTTAATTTGAACGATTCCACTCCTATCAGGCTCCATGCTTTGAATGTCCATTGGAAAGAAAATCACTCCAGACCTCAAATGAAGCACACACACACACACAGAGACACAGACACACACACACACACACACACACACACACACACACACACACACACACACACACACACACACACACACGGACACAGATTATTGTACATATGAACCGGGAAAATTAATAAAAAAGACAAGAGGATAAACTGTTCGCAGCTTACGCGTTCCATCCTCTGAGAGATTTTATGAAGGCAAATGTCAGATATATTTTGTTGCACGTGTTTATATACAAGAGCAAGAATCTCATTGGGTTATCAAGGTTTTTTTTTTTTATTTGAGAATGTTCATAAATATTCATCAGGTGGTTGAAAACTCAGTCAAAACATGTGGAGGACAAAATTTTCCATAATTCAAAGTCTGGTAAAAACAATAATAAGGGAGTAACATTCAAAATCTTTTATTTGATAAATGAATATTGTTTTAAATTGTGATCATAAAACGGCTAAATCCATCACTTTATTCTTGGAAGATGTTCAGTGCACACATCCATCCAAAACCATAGCAATCTGATTACAATTTAAAACAATATTCATTTATTAAAAAAAAATATTTCTTTTTTGCCACTTCATCTCACAGTCACCGTGCCATACAGAAGGAAAGTCTTATTTTTGTGGAAGACAGTTATTCAAAAGTCTCTCAAGGCTATTCGTGCTAAGTGAACAAACTCAACTGAAATTCGAACTCAGCTTGCTACTTCTAATTTTCTAACTATCTGATTCATCATATCACGAGTCCTATAGAGCTATAGGGGGGCACTACATGTACTGCAGTCGTAGCAGCAGTAATATGTCTACGGCAAGATAACCTGACAGATTCCGTCCCTCTTCAAGCTTGTTTTGGATTCGAAGTTTTCTTTTCCCACTACATTTAACCCATACATAGAGGAATGTGGCTGCATGCTTTTTTAAAGTAATTTAGACCAAAGTAAACGAAGCAGAATCAAGCTGGGATTGAACTCAGTTTACCGAATTCACTTTCCCTATCATTATACCAACAACGCCTCCATGCGTAATATAAATTATTATTGCAATTACTGTTGTCAACATACTAGCCGTTATATTTGTGCATAAAAAACAGTCGAACGTTTAACCCTGTACTAAAGATTGATTCAGTGCAATTTGAATACTTCCTATAAGCGACGTTCGACCATTTCTTTTATAGTCGGGTAGTTCGAAAGTGAAACAATTATGGTTATCTTCACCCCGATATTTTTCCTCGATAAATATTAAGAGATCCTCTGTCACTATCTTTAATTAATAAATCGTTATTTATCTTTTCAAATGTGATGAAAAGTATCAAAGAATTTTGTCACAGTTAGTATTTAAAACTAAAGTAAATTTGCCTCAAATTCTCTAGGTTTTCACACTTTCATAAAATATTCACACAGCCGTACACATAGCTGAACATATTCGATCTCATATGCACTCACTGTTTGATAAAAGAAAAAGAAAAAAAACTATCATATTTACTGATAAAGACGACCACATAGAATAAGCATTAAAATAAAATAAAAAATTAAATAAGGTACAAATATTTGCCTTAGGAGAAAATATCAAGTAAACAAAATAAAATGGAGTATATATGAAATAAGTATTACCTGTACTTATATGTACAACTATTTAAAGTAAATGCTTGCAAATTTGATAAGTAAATTATTTATTTCGGGATCAGAACCATTTTCTGACTTTAAATATCGATTCAAACAAACGTGAAGAATGTTTATCAAATAAACGCGACTTTTTCGAATATAAAGAGAAAATGTGAACAAAACCCGACAATTTTTAAAGAAAAAAATATTATTTACGCTTAAACTGATGAAGAAAATTGAATTCCTCCTTTGTCAATCTATTTGCAAAAGTTCTAAATCCAATCATATTTCAAGGGAAAAAATGTCTTCATAATGACGTATTCTCTCTCTTTATCTCTCACTTTTTTCGCTCTCTCTCTCTCAAACAAACATTCTATTTGTTTCTACTTCCTCCTTTCTTGTTCTCTTTTGATTTAAATCAAATAAACGTTTGTTTATCCTTTGCACCATCATGAGCATTGGCAATAGATTGACAGTATTTATTTTTATTGAACATGTAATCATTCAAATTGCACGAATGTATATTTTTTCGTTTTTTAAAAAAATTAACTTTTTCTAAATTTTAAAGATTGTAACTTTTAAAGTGATTTCGATTTGGAGATACCGAATTATTATTTGGTTGTCGTATTTTGTTATGTATTAAAATCGATTCCAACGGAATCCTGGCATTGCAATTCTTTCAATTTTGTAAAACCGAGGCATGTTATTCAGCTCTTCAGTAAATTAATGAACCTGTTTATCCTTAATACAGTTTATATGAACCGCATCATTTCTTGGTTTTCTAGCGAGGATAAATTGCTTGCCATTCTCGTTTGTCGAGAAACAGCATAAATGAAACTAGTTTGGTCCTGTTTTTGTTCTTCTGTACTAAAAGGGGAAAACTCTGGATCGTTCTGACGCCTCTGTGGCACAGACTGTAGAGGTAGTGAATTTTTTTTTTCTCTCAACCTCCGCTAACCACTGAACTTTGTGCATTATCTGTCCTTCTGAAGGACCAGACTAATGTCAGATCATTCTTATCTCCCGCAGAAGATAATGTCTTCCTGCCTCTTTTGATCCGTCTCTTCCCCCACCTAAGTAACAGTGGGTTGGACAGAGTACGAAATATTTTACAAGTGAAAGAGTATCGCACACCAACTTAACCGAATTTTTTTTCAAATTTTGCCACCGTGTAGAGGCAAAGTACTTACCAGACACATCACGCAAGAAGCGTAAACCGACCCTTGGGTTCCATCTTCCATGTCGCAACGCCCCATAGCTCTAAATTAGTAATGACTGATATATTTCTTTTCTACGGTTTAATAAGCTTTTCAGGTTATTTAAAGCCAGAAAATATTTTTTACATTGTAAAATATATATATATATATATTTTTGAGAGATGAATTAATGACAAGTCTTACTAAATAACTGATAGCTGTTAGGAGAAGTGGTGCAAATTGCCAAGGGTATAGCACGTGAGTGAATTTACCGAACCCAACGTGAATTCGAACTCGGCTCTCCGATTAACAATTCTGAGCCATTATCCATTACATCACCCGCACTTTCAAGCTTACGGCACCTGAATTTCCCAAGCAGTCACTCATCTAGCTGCTGATCAGTCTCGACGTTGCTTAACGTCGGTGATCGTAAGAGAACTGGTGTTTCAACCTGATGTGAC